TGTGGTATCTTAGATGAGTTTTATTTTTACAACCAATGGGTTTATGTGGTATCTTAGATAAGTTTTATTTCTACAACCAATGGGTTTATGACACTGCTGATGGAGGTTTCGCTAGCACTAGCCCAGTAGCCAGCACTTATGATTGAAAAAGGTTTCAATACAAAAATCACATAAAATTAACATTTTTAAAGATCAATGACAATGAGGTAAAGATCAGATAAGTCCTGTCAGACAGACATGTTCACCTTACAATTTTTACATACACCAAATATAGTTGACCTATTGCTTATGGTAATCGAAAAACAGACAAAAACACAAACACTCAACATTGATTAATGGACCATGAAAATTAGGTCAAGCATAGATTATACCTGCCAGACAGACATGTTCACCTTACAATTATAACATACACCAAATATAGTTGACCTATTGCTTATGATACTTAAAAAATCAGACCAAAACACAAAAAACTTAACACTGACCAATGACCCATGAAAATAAGGTCAAGGTCAGATGAAACCTACGAGACTGACATGTACCTTTAACAATCATTCTATTCGCCACATTTAGCTGACCTACTGCTGATAGTATTTGAAAATTACATAAACACAAAAAATCAATATTGATCAATGAACCATGAAAATGAGGTCATGCTTCTGCATACGGAGTTCATATCTCCCAGTTGGTACAATATTCCAGGGCTTTTATTTCCTTTCATGATTTCCTTGATAGAGAGTTACTGCACACAAGGAAGCTATTAAACCAAGAGTTCCTAGTGGTGAAGTTGAAATCATCCCTTCGTAAGTTTTACGGACGCCATCACGAGTTGGTTGACCTTTAGGGAAGATCAGTTTCACAGATAACAGCGGATTTTTTCCTAATGTCGTAACCAAAATCCCGCCCCCTTTCCCGAATGTGACCTACCGAATTAGACGTATTACCGGGTTTCTACAAACATGAGCAACACGACGGTGCCACATAGGAAGCAGGATCTGCTTACCTTTCCGGAGCACCTGAGATCACCCCCCGTTTTTGGTGGGGTTCGTGTTGCTTAGTCTTTAGTTTTCTATGTTGTGCTGTATTATTGTTTGTCTGTTTGTCTTTTTCTTTTTTAAGCCATGGCGTTGTCAAGTTTATTTTCGACTTATGAGTTTGAATGTCCCTCTGGTATCATGCTAATCATGTTATTGATTGGTTGAAATCTTATTTATCAGGAAGATTTCAAAAGGTAATGATCATTTTGAATGCTTCATCAGTTATGTTTAAACAGTTAGCATGGCTTACCATTTATAATAGAATCAAATATTCTATGACGGTGATGGTATATAAGTGTATGAATAATCTTGCACCTGAATACTTATCTGAACTTTTTTCAAGTTGTTCAGTTGTTAATAAATATGCATAAAGGATCATCTTCCCAAAATAATATATTTGTTCAATGATATGAAACTAATTCTGCCCGGAATAGTTCCTTTGATTATAAGTAAATTAATGGCTATATGTCCTACACTTTCATTACTAATTAATGTATTGTTCAGAAATTTTGATAAAATGTTTTTATCATTAAGGAAATTTTGTATCATTTTCCCACAAAAGATATTAAATATTTTTTAAGGCTACAATATGTGATATTATTTGGACTATAATTCAATTCCTGGTTTATTGAAAATGTGTACTGTTTGACTGCAATAAGCACGATATTTTATTTCTGATAACCCTTATCTTTGTCCTTTCTCTCCAGTAACATAAAATATGAATGCTTATGCCTATTGTTGTTAACTTTTATGTTATTTGGTGTCTGCTAGAGTGTTGTCTCATTGACAATCATACCACATCTTCTTATTTTTATATTATGTGAAGTAAACTTCATTCAAGGAAGATAAATAAAATACAAACAATAAAAATATAAGTTTTATTAATAAAAAATAAAACACTTTTTTGAGTATATAAATTGTATAACGTTGTTTAAAATTAAGGTTATAAATAAAAACATTTTCATATATTTGATATCTAATAATTTATTGTCAATAAAATATAAATAAAGACATTACATGATAGGCATAAATAAAAATCACAAGACCAATATACAAATATGGATATATCTTTACACATGATGCAACTGTAGATCAGCTAGATGTAAATCTTAATTAGGTCATGAAAAAACGACATGATTATTTTTTTGTATCTATGGACATGTAAACATTACATTTTCCAAATTTGTTATCTAGACATAAAATACATTTATGTAGAGGTCTATATCAATAAGAGAAGAAATCTTTCATTCTTATGCAATTTGTTTGTTTGGACAATTTTTATTGGATGATGACATTCTGAGGGGGTACAATCCGAATTTACCAATGTCTCCAACTTAGAAAAGCCTTAATTTTGAACACTAAAATTTTTTTTTTTGCTTTTTGATTTTATAAAATAATAAACAGAATAATTAAATTTTTCACCTGAAAATCTTATTTTTGTGAAAATTTATTTCATTCTGATGCATAAGTAACGTTTCAAAATATCTGTTGTTTATTTTAGATAGTGGAAGCGTACCTATAATGTCACATTGTTAACATGCCAAAGAACCTTCTATTTACGAGAATTTAAAGCTAAATAATGACCAAATTGGAATGTTTTGATTGAATGGAATTAACAGCATTATATTTTCAGCTGACTTACATAAAACTTGGTCAATATCTCTCTACCTAGCTCCACTAGTCATTGCTAGGTAAACTCAATTGGCAATAGTATAACCTAGAAAAACACATCGTATAATTTAGTACTCACAGGGTGCATCTTTTTTTTAAATATCTAAAATATATGAAAAGTATATGAAAAGGTTGGGGTATTGAATGTCTCAGCTACCCACCCCTACCACAAAATTATTGAAGTGGAAATTTGAAACAAAGAAAACAAGACCAGTACAGGAACTGGATCTGCGTTTATTTCTATATGTAATTGATTGAAGTAACATGTATACTGAAGCTTAACTGATCATTCCCTTTCATTGAAGCCAAGGAACTTTGACGAAACTTTTGCTTGTCCAATTTCAAACTATTGGCAAACAGGAAGTGGCTGCACAGTAGATGTAAAAATTGCTTTCTTGTTTCAACTCAACATTATAAAGGTGCAGAAATAATAAAAAATTCTTTCAAAAACAAGCCAACAAAAGTTTGACAAATCTTTTCCTTGTACAATGAGTGTTGTAAAATTTCCAACTATGCCAAACAGGCAGTGGCTGCATGACAGATGTAAAAATTACTTACTCGCCTCAACTCATCAGTATCAAGTGGCAGACAAAATATTTAATCATTCTCTTTCATAGAAGTCAAGAAAACTTTGACGAAAGTTTTCTTCACAAAGTCTTTTAGATGGATGGAGACGGAAGATTGGACGGAGTCAAGTCATTAGTAGACCTGATTTCGACTTTCGAGATGCAGGAATAAACATATAAATCACTATTATCTCCCATGTTAAAATTTATACATTGATTGATTGTTGTTTATTTCATATCCAGGAGCAAATATTCATATTAAAGTAAAAAAGATTTATAGATATTGATATTTTTACATGTTAGATAAGGGAGACAATTCATAGAAAAAAATCAATTACAAAAGTCAAAAGCCAAAAAACCTTTTATTAATTTGATCATCACATGTTTTAAAGTTAGCTCTTTAATTTTGGTGTATATGTAGGTAAACATAAGCAGGAAAGAAACAAAAAAAGTTTTAAATAATTGTGATCTGAAGACATTTAAGAATGAAATTGGTTAAAAAGTAGTCTCTCTAAAAATTCAAGATATGAAATTCCTACCGGTACATTAATATTAAATAGATATAAAACTACTACATTAAAGTCTTAAACATTTCCTACAAAAACAATTGTCTGTCTTGACGTATCACATGTCTCTGTACCAACATACAACAGGATAGTCTATTTAATTATCATAATCCCCTCTTTGCAAGAATTAAGACTATAGACAAACCAAAAAAGTCCTAATAAAAATAAATGACATGGATGAGAATTGATACAGACACTAACAACAGATATGAACCTTCACCATTACACAATATTCTCATGTACTGTGGATTTATTATTATTCACGGTATACCCTTTTTTGTTGATTTCGTTGGTACAGGTGAACCACAAATTTAAATGTTCAAAGAAGTACATATTTTCTAAAGGCTTTTATACAGACTTTGGTAAAACCACATAAACTGTTAACACAGAGATATGTCTCGCCTTTTTGTACTTTTGATAATGCAATTGTTGAAATTAAAATAGCAATACTTTAACATGTAAGTTATGCAAATATTCAAAGTCAATGAACCATGACTGAAGGTACATGGCAAAACAATCTCCATGGAAATGAGATGTGCCAATGCTAATACAACTGCATACTAAATACCATAGGCTTATCATAAGTCGTTCCCTTTCAACAAACCTAAACACAAACATTAACTTGTAAACTATGTAAAAGTTTCAAAGTCAATGAAACATGATGAGGGGGTGGGGCTTTATGATCTCCATGGAAACGAGACTTGCAAATGCCAATAAATTTGCATACCAAATATCATTGACTTAACATTAGCGGTTCATCTTAAACTGATCTAATCACAAACTAATACATGTAAACTAAGCAAAAGTTTCAGTAAATAGACAATGACTGAGGTGGCAGGACCAAATATTCTCCATGGAAATGAGATGTGCTAATGCTTATACAATTGCATACCACTAATGGTTCCCCTTGAACTGACCTAATCACAAACTAATACATGTAAACAAAGCAAAAGTTTCAAAGTCAATAAACCATGACTGCGGACACGGGACCAAATATACCCCATGGAAATGAGATATGCCAATGCTTATACAACTGCATACCAAATATCATTGACCTACCACTAGTGGTTCCCCTTCAACTGACCTAATCACAAACTAATACATGTAAACTAAGCAAAAGTTTTAAAGTCAATAGACCATGACTGAGGGGGACGGATGAAATGAGATATGCCAATGCTTATACAACTGCATACCAAATATCATTGACTTACCACTAGTGGTTCCCCATAAACTGACATAATCACAAACTAATACATATAAACTAAGCAAAAGTTTCAAAGTCAATAGACCATGACTGAGGGGCAAGGCCAAATAATCTTTCGGGAAATGAGATGTGCCAGTGCTAATACAACTGTGTACCAAGTATCATTGACCAACCACTAGTGGTTCACCTTAAATTAGACCTAATCACAAACTAATACATTGTTGACGCTGCCGCCAACGCCGGAAACAGCATACCCATGTCTCGCTTTTTGACTCTGTCAAGGCGAGACAAAAATCAAATATTGACGAAAATACAATATTTCCTTAATCCATGAAAATTGGTACCCAGGAAATTAAATAAATCCACAGTAATTTTTTCACAGTCAGCTACCGTACTCCAGATTTGTTTTATCTATCTCACGTCTACATCAAACTTTGAAATGGCTTAGACTTTTATCAGTATTCCAAGTCATTTATGTGTTTTATTCTATATATCAACATCCAGTGCCTCCAATGCAAATCTGAGCTTGGCCATTGTTAAAATGTCTTTTACACTCAATTGATCTGCAATGGTCTTGTAAAACACATCAGGTGACTGAAATAGATATAAAGTATGTAGTGGGTGTTAACTAGATGATTACAGATATTAAAAATATGTTTGTAATGAATAACATGAGTTTAGGAAATATCTTTGTTTTGAAATGCTTGGAAAAGGCATGATTTTCATAAATGTTTTCTTTATAAACACCCCTTCAATTGCAGTTTAATAACCGAAAATTAGAGGCTCTAAAGAGCCTGTGTCGCTCACCGGCATCTTCAACAAGAGCCAAATTTTGATAAATATCATCATGAAAGGGCAATTTCAGTCATGTTGACATATTTGTAGATCTTGTCTTGCTGATCATTTTTGCTATATAAAGTTTCTATTTATCTATTATAGTTTTCAAATTAAAAGGCAAAAATGCTAAAAATTGGGAAAAATCGTCATTAAGGATGATCGCTACTCTGGTTTTTGACTTTTTATCAGATATTTGGAATCCTCTGGTTTTATCCATGTAGTGCCATTAAAAAAATTGGCCCACTAACGCCTACTTTTCTTTTCATAATTTGATTACATATAGTTTAAAATGCCACCTTTGAAAATCTTATAAAATCCTTGTAATTTTTTCATAGTTTTTGAAAGAAAAAAGGTGCCAGTGTTAAATGTATGAAAAATCTAGAGAGAATCATTTCCCGCCAAATTTTCAATGGCTTATATCTCGAAAACAAGCACACGGACCCTTCATTTTTTTCTGCTTTTGTAGTTCCTTTATTTATATACTACCAATTTATAACAGTCTTTTAAAAAGCTTGTTATTTCGAAACAGAGTAGCGAACATCCTTAAAGGGCAATAACTTCAATAAGGAGTCAACTGATGATTTGGGTTATGTTGATTTATTTGTAGATCTTGACATGTTGATCATTATGGCTTTTTGAAGTTTCTTTATATCTATAGTTTTAAAGTTAATGGGCAAAAAAGCCAAAAATTGGTAAAAAATCATCATTAAAGATCAATAACTGCAATAAGGAGTTATCTAATGATTCCAGCCATGTTGACTTATTTGAAAATCTTGTCATTGCCGATCATTTTTCCAAATAAAAATTTCTCTGTATCTATTATAGTTTTCATAAAAAAAAAACAAAATTGAAAAAATAGATAAAATTTGACATTTAAAACTTTAACTCCTATAAGAAGTCGTCTGACAGTTTTTGCGTAAATGGACAGCAGGTAAAACTCAACATTTCTGCCACTGTCAGATTTTCTCTTTTTAAAGTGGTTTTCAAGATAATAGACCAAACCTGCATTTTACCCCTATGTTATATTTTTAGCCATGTCATTAATCTTGGTTGACATTAGACACACTTTTTAAACTAGATACCCCAAAAATGACGGTGGTGAAGTTTGGTTAAATCTTGCCCAGCAGTTTCAGAGTAGAAAATTTTTGTAAAAGTGAACAAATGACGGACAAAGAAGCCAAGTGATGAGAAAAGCTCACTTGGGTTTTTGGCCAGGTGAGCTAAACACACAAAATCTTTTGAGATAAAACTTCATTATTTGATGGAAATTCAAAAACTAGCTCCTGATAGCTTAGAAACTAAAAACCTGATGAAAATTTGATGACAGATTAACGAAAAGCACTTATCAATCTTACGATTTTTTTTAATAAAATAAATCAAATGCAGCTTGAAAAAGAAAAAAAAAACGCAAAATTTATAAGTATCATATTCTGTATGTTTGGCCCCTAAAATTAGAAAAAGATCATTTCTCTATATTCTAATAGGAAAAAAAATATTAAAAACATAAAAGAATAAAAAAAATACAATTCAGCTCAGTTTTTAGTGTTGAGCAACATTACACTCCTTAAATCTCTTTCCAAACACCACTCCAATGCAGCTTAATAAATGCAAAGTCAAAATGTTAATAACTGTAAATTCAGAAATTATTACGTGCATTTATTATTGCAATTTTTGAAGAAAGGACAAAAATGTGAGATTTATTATTGCGATTTCAGGAAAATCTGCATACACTTATTGTATCAGATATCAGAATGCGAGTTCTCATTATTGCGATTATCACCCAATAGAATTATTCTCAATAATAAAAACCTCGCAATAATTTCTGAATTTACAGTAGTACCAAAAACTGGTCTATTGAAATATGTAGGGGTAGGTTTACAATTTAAATAGTTATATATATAAATGCATTTACTTCAAGGGGCATAACACTGACCAAACACAACAGCATCAATCAGTTACAATACTAATACTTTGCAGAAGAAACCCACATGTATGTGATAAGAATAAGAGAGAACATGTATTTGATTTTGAGATTCCTCAATCTTAACTAGCTATAGATGGTATTATTACTTACTTCCTGAACTAGAACATGTAAGAAGGCTATTTCTAGTCCACTCAATCTTCCCATTAAGTTCCTGTAAAGATAAAATGAAATATTATGTGCCTGCTATATACCATGATAAGACCTGAAATAATACATGTAAGAAGGATATTTCTAGTCCACTCAAGCTTCCAAGTAAATTCCTGGCAAAACATATTAAAATATTGTGTACATTCTATATACCATTATAGCAAATTTCTTTTTTTTTAATTACTTACCACAAATATTTCATAACAATTATAGTACCACCTTTACATGTAACCTCCTTTTAATATTAATAAATTTAGATTTGTGGTTACAGATGTCTAAGACTTAAAATGTCTCATAATATACCATGGTATATAAAATCATTAATTAGAACAGAGATATATTGCATGTGTTTAATTGCTTAAATGCCCTAAAATAGAAGTGTAAAATAAATAATTCTGTAGAACCTATGGACATATATTTTCATTTCTTTTATCAAAGTAAAGTCTTATTTTCAAATTTGTAAATATTCTATGTGGGCTCCTTAGTTGGGTTTTCATATGTAAACCTTTGCAGATTTATCTTGTCTAATAGGAAAAGAATAGATATGGAATTAGAGTTACCTCCCCTTTGACCTAGTATTGACTACATATCCTCAATTTTCATATTTCATAGATTTAAAGTTAGAATTAAGGATGTTCGCTCCTCTTGTTTTTGAATTTTTGCCAGATTTTCGGAATCCTCTGGTTTTATCCATGTTTTGCCATTAAATAATTTTGTCCACTGACCCCTACTTTTCTTTTCATTATTTTATTTCATATAGTTTTAAAAGCCATATTTGAAAATCTTATAAAATCCTTGTTATTTTTTCATAGCTTTTAAAAGAGAAAAGCGGACAATGTTAAAAGTATGAAAAATCTAGAGAGAATCATTTCCTGCCAAATTTTCAATGGCTTATATCTCAAAAACAAGCACACAGACCCTTCATTTTTTTCTGCTTTTTTAGTTCCTTTGTTAATATACTATCAATTTATAACAGTCCTTTAGAAATCTTGTTATTTTGAAACAGAGTAGCGAACATCCTTAAACGTCAATACCTCAGTGTTCTCCCCAGGGCTTTTTATCATCATGGTAATGTGATGCTATATTTCTTGAATGTGATGCTATTTGAAATGACTTTCTTATACTGTGGATTCATTTATTTTCGTGGGTATCAATTTTCGTGGATTGAGAAAAACTTGCATTTTCGTGGATATCTGATTTCGTGATTTTGCCGATCTCTGCATACCACGCCTTTAGAAAATTTGTAATTCGTTGAACATTTGAATTCGTTGTTAAACTGTACCCACGAAACCCACGAAAATTGGTATCCAACGAATAATTATGAATCCACAGTAGATTGTGTTATGGATGTGATGCTATTAATGGTATATTTCAAATTTCTCTGTTTACCAGGATGCTATATGAAATACCTGGGGAGAACACTGTACCTATTTCAAAATCTTTTTCTTTACATTGAAATCAACTGTTTGCACAATTTATCAATAGCTCACCTGCTCTACCATTTTCCGATTTTGAAGCATCTAACTCGAAAGGAAACTTCTTAAAATTATTTAATTAAATATAAAGAAAATATTTTTTTGGACATTTTCCATTTCAGACAAGAATGCATGTGTTGTTGTGCTAAGCTTACACCTTTTTGTAATTGAAATTATCCAGAAACAGAAAGTAGGTGACTGACAGATCTGAAAAGCACACACAGGAGCCTCCTCATGGGTTTTTTTATTATTTGAATACTTGGCCATTTTTATAGTGATTATTTGATTACCAGACCAAATATTTCATGATTATTTGAATATTTGATAATCTAGGACTGTATTTTTGATTATTTGATTATCTTGTTTAAAAAAATAATTAATGATTATGTGATTATATTGGATAAAAATTTGTGATTATGTGATAACTTGGACACCCCCATGAGGGGCCTCACTCAGGTAATACAACTCATCACTGTTGAGCTGCTGACCTAATATGACGTCATTGTGTATTGTAGTAAAATTTATATTTATTCACCATATTAAAAAATTCAATGTATAGGAAAACAGGTACTTGGTATCTGACAGATCCTAAAAAAAAGCTAACAAGTTACAACTCATCATTGCTGCTTACCAAATATGAAGTTATTCTGTTACTGCTCACAAGTTACAACTCATCATTGCTGCTTACCAAATATGAAGTTGTTCTGTTACTGTAAGTAGTTTTTGAGAAAAGTATGATGGAAATATTTGTAGGACGAACAGACAAATGGACAAGATGAATGCTATTATGCCCTTATTCCTATAGTGGGGGTATAGTATTTAAAAATAATCAAAAAACCCATGAGGAGGCTCCTGTGTGTGCTTTTCAGATCTGTCAGTCACCTACTTTCTGTTTCTGGATAATTTCAATTACAAAAAGGTGTAAGCTTAGCACAACAACACATGCATTCTTGTCTGAAATGGAAAATGTCCAAAAAAATATTTTCTTTATATTTAATTAAATAATTTTATTAACTTTATTCATCCTGAAAAGCTGATATATACTTAAATACCTTGGTAACTGATTTTTATCCAGCCATTTTCCAACATGCTGAGGTGACCATTTCTTCACTTTCTCAACATCTGATGATTTTGTTCTAGAAACAGGTACTGAGGCTGCCGCTGATGTTGTTGATGCTGATTGTTGGGGCTAAAACAATTAATAGGAATATTTACAACAAGTAGATACAACTGAGACAGATTCTGAATTAAATAAAACTGAATGAAACTAAGAGCTGCTCAGCCGTGTGGTCCACAAGGAAATTTTTGGACAAAAATCACTTCCTCTACAGTATATAAAGTCTGATAAAAATGAGTAGATGTGGTACGATTGCCAATGATAGAACCATCCACCAGAGTCGAAGGACTTCAGCAACTATATAGGTCTTTTTGCACAAAAATATTACCAGAATTCCAACACTAAACATTACTATTAAACCAAACCTTGGCATCATGAAAAACCTTGACCACAAGGAAAAATCAATCAAAGTGCTTGTAAGCACTGAAGGGTAAAGATTGCTTTAATTTATCAGTGAGAAGTAAATTATATATTGCATTGTATATTTAGCATTGGTTGTTGTTGATTTAACTACTAATCTGGACAAAGGAAGATAACTCCAATTTTTATAGATTACTTTAACAATGACATCATTGATATTTTTAGAACAGATTTTAGATTCCTGCATCTTGCAAAAGTTATGTAATTTTCTTAACAAGTATAGCATCATTTTGTAACTTGAATATCTGAGCATTTATTTCATTGATAAATTTCTGGAAATGTCCATGGATAGGATGTATAGAATGTTATGATCAATGCACTATATTTTGTGTATCTCAAAAGTAGTGATAAACCTTGGAAGATTTAGATATCAAGTCAGTACCATAGGGTTTTGCTAGAATTTCATGCAATCTTTACCCAAAAACTATTTTCTATGAAACATCATTAAGTTACAAGAGTTTTATTCCCCAAAAAATATTAAAATTGAGATAGATTTCAGTAATCTAACATATCCAGTAAGCTCTAAAAGAGGGTCCGGAAGGGGTTTACAGAATAGAATACATGTAATAATGGGCAAAACATGCAGAATAAAGGGCAAACAAAAAATTAAAAATGGAGAAAAATGTGCAAAAAAAAAATAGAGACAAAGAATAAAGGAGTGCTAAAACATAAAGAATGGTGAATAGTGGAGAAAACAATAAAAAAGAATAGAGAAAAATGGTACAAAAAAATAAGGAAAAAAGAATTGAAGAACCCTTTATACAGACTCTCCTAAAAGAAAACAGACTTACTATAACTTGAACTTGGACCTCTGCATTTGGCACTTGGATTGTGACACCCTTCATATTTTGTAATGAACTCTGAACTTCATTTATCAGTTCTGTCACTTTCTTTTCAAATGGATATTTTCCACTGAAGTCATAAAATAATTTGGCACCAATAATAAACCCAAGCCATCCATCGGCTTTGTATGCTTTCTCCATCTTTAATGGTATAACCTTCTTTTTCAGTTGGAATGCATACTCTGCCTCTGAAAATAGAAATAAAATACAGTGAACCTGTATATGTCTATCTCCTTTTGGTTTGTATTAGACAGGTGTTTGGTTAATGCAGGTTAAATTACTTATGAATATTCCCTCTATGTTTTGAATATACAAGTGAAATGTGATATGGCCTGGAAATACTACCTCTGAATTAAACGCAAATAGGAGAATTAAGACAATTCCACATCAAAACTATTAGATGCTTCCAATCCCTTCCAATAAGAACTTCAACAGCTGTATATATGCTTATTGGCACCATACCAATTGAAGCAGAACTTCATAAGAGACAACTTAGCTTGCTATATTCCATCCTAGTAAGTGAAAACACTAAAATAAGAACTTTAATGGAAAGACAGCTGATTGTCATCTCAGCCACAGCCGTTAAGGGACATGTAAGCTACAAGCCAAAATGAAAGAAAAAACACTCTTAAATTCTGCAATAAAACAAAGCTCAAAATACATCAGACTCACCCAGTATGGAAATCATCAGTTACATACAAGGTAAAAAAGGCACAAATCAAAGCCAGATTACTCACAGGTACATACCTTTTAGAATGTGACAAACAGAAATTCAAAAGGGAACAAGAATGAACAAATTGTACTCTGTGTCATCTGGAAATAGTAACTCTAGAACACTTCTTACTCAGGTGCCCAGCTTTAAATGAAAAACAGCAAAAAATTATCCCAGAGCTGAAAAAACTCATCATACACCCTGTAGGATACAACAAATGGAAAGAAATATTCAAAGTGAACCAGACATTAATTATCCAAATAATTATAGACTGCAAGAAATGAACTATAGTCCTGAGACAAAAATTCAAATCAAAAACCTCAGTAGAGATCTGTGCTATAGACTACATACTCAGAGAATATTGATGCAAAAGAAGATTAAGACTGTATGAGGTGATGTTAACCCAATGGGCACAAATTCTTATGGCTGTATATTTTACATTTTATTTTCAAAAATTAGAATACTAAACCTAATATTGAAATTACATATCAGATAAGGGTTGAGAATCTAAGTTAAGATTAGGACCACAGGTTGAAGACACTATCATATGTATCATGTATAAACCTGATTTTAGCATTATTTTAAAGTATCTTACCATAGCTAATGTCTGTTCAACATATAATAAAAAGATAAATAATGGCCTGCTTTAAATATATCCCTTACCACCTTTTCTTTTATAATATTTATTTTAAAGATAAGGTTTTTATTTTTTTACTACCGTGTAACACAGGTGCTCGGATGCTGAGGAATTTACGAAGAAGATACAAGACTGATGTATACCAGAACATGTGATAATTTATTTGAAAATAATAGTTTAAACCAAAGAGTATAAAAATTAAATAAATATGTGCAATTTTTTGTAAAACTGCTTTGAAGCATATTTGACTTAGGATAATTCTTGATTAAGATGCTTATAATTACAGGCTATCAGTATGGCTGATGCAACAGGTTACACAGATCAAAATCTGCTGTACACTATTGCAAAATCAATTGTTTTGAATTGCTAGTTAACACAGATCATGTTGCAGTATTAATTTCCAGTAATAGGGTATGCTGATCTAACCTGCTCTACAGTTATCACTGTTTTTATAATTCTGTGAATAGCATACTAAAACAATGTCAGCATTCTCTACGGCATTAGCCATGGCCTGGAGTGTAGATCCATGCATATCATCAATATCCATCCAGACCTTGATTCCATTGTTACGTAACTGACCACAGATCTCCTTCACTATACTCTGATGTCCCCAGTTATAACTGATCATGACGTGAGTGTCACGTTGTTCTGATTCCCTTGGTGTTACTGGTAAAAAGCTGAATTCTTCTCCTGATTTACAAAAAAAAAATGTTTAAAAGATTTGTACCTTCAGTATCACAATAGGATACAAAATATTGGCTTTTTTTATTATAACATGCTTAAAAATAATACACAAAGAATATAAAAACCCTCAACAAATCAGATATTATCACAGCTGGTGTATTATGTGATTATTTACTTGCAGGCAAATTAAATTCCTTATTTTAGAATAAAATTACAATCTACTGTCCTATCTTTTCATTCACAAAGAGTAAATTCTCCTATCTTTTCATTCACAAAGAGTAAATTCTATCTTTTCATTAACATAGAGTAAATTCTCCTATCTCTTCATTCACAAAGAGTAAATTCTCCTATCTTTTCATTCACAAAGAGTAAATTATCATATCTTTTCATTCACAAAGAGTAAATTCTCCTATCTTTTCATTAACATAGAGTAAATTCTCATATCTTTTCATTCACAAAGAGTAAATTCACCTATCTTTTCATTCACAAAGAGTAAATTCTCATATCTTTTCATTCACAAAGAGTAAATTCACCTACCTTTTCATTCACAAAGAGTAAATTCTCATATCTTTTCATTCACAAAGAGTAAATTCTCATATCTTTTCATTAACATAGAGTAAATTCTCCTATTTTTTCATTCACAAAGAGTAAATTCACCTATCTTTTCATTAACAAAGAGTAAATTCTCATATCTTTTCATTAACATAGAGTAAATTCTCCTATCTTTTCATTCACAAAGAGTAAATTCACCTATCTTTTCATTCACAAAGAGTAAATTCTCCTATCTTTTCATTAACATAGAGTAAATTCTCCTATCTTTTCATATACAAAGAGTAAATTCACCTATCTTTTCATTCACAAAGAATAAATTCTCATATCTTTTCATTCACAAAGAGTAAATTCACCTATCTTTTCATCCACAAAGAGTTAATTCACCTATCTTTTCATTCACAAAGAGTAAATTCTCATATCTTTTCATTCACAAAGAGTAAATTCTCATATTTTTTCATTTACATAGAGTAAATTCTCCTATCTTTTCATTCACAAAATATAAATTCACTTATCTTTTCATTCACAAAGAGTAAATTCTCATATCTTTTCATTCACAAAGAGTAATTCACCTATCTTTTCATCCACAAAGAGTAATTCACCTATCTTTTCATTCACAAAGAGTAAATTCTCATATCTTTTCATTCACAAAGAGTAAATTCTCATATCTTTTCATTTACATAGAGTAAATTATCCTATCTTTTCATTCACAAAGAGTAAATTCACCTATCTTTTCATTCACAAAGAGTAAATTCTCATATCTTCTCATTCACAATGAGTTAATTCTCATTTCTTCTCATTCACAAAGCATTAATTTTCCTATCTTCTCATTCACAATTTCTCCTAACCTAGACTTACCAACTTTCTTGTAATGTTGAGAATTTTTCAAGCTATTTTTCATTGTCCAGAGAGCTTTACCACAGATTCTCCTAACCCCCTTATCCTCTGCAGATTTGTAAAGTTTGACAAATGTATCTATGACTCCACACTCTGGATCATTTATAATCTCAGCCTGAATCTGCTGGTCAAAAGATAAACTCCACAAGGCTTCAACAGCCTCTGAAAAATGAAAAAAATAACAGACATCATTCTTTATTATTTGACATAAATACAGTCATTTCTAACAGACATCATACTTTATTATTTGACATAAATACAGTCGTTTCTAACAGACATCATACTTTATTATTTGACATAAATACAGTCGTTTCGTCAGTAATTTTACCAATTGTGGTCCGGGTACACAGTTATCGTCCTTTGATTTTCGTTGTCCACGAATATAGTCCCTAGTGTGGACAGTGTGTTACTTGTCGATTTTTTTTATACCCCTTCCGAATTTATTTCTCCATGTTTTATGACTCAAATAGTAAGTAGGGGGGTGAAATGACACTGTAAAAAAATTTGGGTCATGAATTTTAAAGTAAAGTAGTGATTTGGTCCAGCTGAAAAATGTTAAAAATTAGCACATCGGAAGCTGTCAAAAGATTTGAAGACCCCCTTAGCATGAAATTGTCCATATTTTGAGTTAGAGCCGATGAAGTTTTCTATAATTCTGATATAATTTGTCCCAAAAGTAGTACAACACACTGTAAAAATATTATTGAGAAAGCGCAGGTGGGATTTTTTTAATTTCCATTTATTGTCTAAAAGAAATGCACTACGAAATAACTGTGTACTCGGACCTAAGAGGTGAAATCAGGAAATATAGAATCTGTACTTTGGCAACTTCCCTGAATGATTTGATGGTGTCAATTTATCAAATAGCATAAAACTAAAGGATTTAAACTTTTATTTGATAGAATTTCTGCAAAAATGACCAATTTTGGCATTTTATGGTCAAAATAAGCATTTCATAGCTTTTTCAATTTTGATGCATAAGTGGCATTCTGACTTTCTATCTGACAGGTTTTTATGTGTCAATATTTGTGTTTCTATGTTTCAATCCAGTTGTATTACTCATTTGTGAACTCTGAATCTACAGAAAAGAAGATTATCTCAGACAATATGCGCAAAATGTGTTGTATATATGATCCTCGTCTAACGCCCTGTTTGGATCAAGTTAAATGTGAGGAGCTTGGAACATAAAAGTTGAAGTCCATTATAAAGACCTCACTAAATTTGTATAAAAAGCACTTAACAATGTCTTTTGTACCTGTTTTATGTCACATAATACCTTTCTTTTCTTCTGTCGGATAGCAAGTGGTTCAAATATAAGCCTGTTGAGACTAAAATTGCATGCATGTTTTTCACTAAAAAGTGAAAAATCTTTGTATCAGACCATACTGTCTGCAAAAAAAGTTGAATGCAAGAGTCTTTTTGTGCTCAGATTTATTGTATCATGTCACCTGAGTATAGAAATGATAGAAAAGACACAAAATTTTATTTCATATAGCTTCAATATGCATTTTTAAATGTAAATATGTGATACGGCCTAAATTGACCCTAAATTATTTTCAGTCTTACTTGGCCTAAGACCCTTTTAAGCTAATGTGATATGTTATTTGTAAGTTTTCTTTCCATTTAAAGTACATTAAATACATATGTAAGGATTATTTATAACCAAAAAGCTTTACAAATTTAAAATTGCTGGAAAATATTACATCTTCATGTAAGGCCCCCCTTCATTGGGAAACCTCCATTTTTAGCCACAGGCTCATATAAATTTGACTTTTTAATAATTATGATAAGTCTGATGAATCAAATGAGTACTCTATTGCTTTTAATACATAATATATTATATATTAAGGCATTTCAAAAGTATTTTTTTGCAATATTTTAATTTTTTAAGCCTCAATTGTTGATAGTTGAAAATTTTCAATTTTAACGTCTAAATTTAACACTCAAAGTTCAATATAGAATTAGTCATATTGTCTATAATATATATCCTATTGCCATGAAACTTTGTAAGCAGTCTTATAATTTAATAAGCTTTAGTCATACCAAGTTTCATTAAGATTGGTCAACTTTTTCTACCCTATTAGGTCCGGGTACACAGTTATCGTCCTTTGATTTTCGTTGTCCACGAATATAGTCCCTAGTGTGGACAGTGTGTTACTTGTCGATTTTTTTTATACCCCTTCCGAATTTATTTCTCCATGTTTTATGACTCAAATAGTAAGTAGGGGGGTGAAATGACACTGTAAAAAAATTTGGGTCATGAATTTTAAAGTAAAGTAGTGATTTGGTCCAGCTGAAAAATGTTAAAAATTAGCACATCGGAAGCTGTCAAAAGATTTGAAGACCCCCTTAGCATGAAATTGTCCATATTTTGAGTTAGAGCCGATGAAGTTTTCTATAATTCTGATATAATTTGTCCCAAAAGTAGTACAACACACTGTAAAAATATTATTGAGAAAGCGCAGGTGGGATTTTTTTAATTTCCATTTATTGTCTAAAAGAAATGCACTACGAAATAACTGTGTACTCGGACCTTGTGTCCTATTCCTGATTGTGACATTTTGACTGAGTGTGGATTCTCATGGCGGGTGATGCATGTGCAGCACGAGATGCTTATGCTCCTTTTGAAGTTCATGCAATTCACTCATTTTTTGTTTGTTACCTTTATGTGTCTCTTCTTCATCAATTCACAAGATTTGATCATTTGTATTGTGTTGTTTTTTATTTATGTAAGTGCTAATAATCATTCTTTAAGTGAGGGTTGAGATGTTGGTACCTCAGCAAGCGTTGACCCTGGTTTTCTTATCATGCATAATCTTTTTATTCTTTGCTAAAGTCTATAATCAATGTATTCATAGCTTAACTGTACAGTATTGTTATCATCTATTTTATGATTTTAACATATGATTCGGATATACATGTATATTATATAAAAAAATTATACTTAAATAACAATATTTTGAAAAACCAGCTCCTAAAATAACCTTTAATAATAATATATAATAAAATAAGAACAAGACATCAATGTTTTAACATAGATAAAAATGTAAGGTACAGTAGATTCATTTATTTCTGTGTATACCAATTTTCATGGATTGAAGAAAAATTGTATTTTTGTGGATATTTAATTTCATGCTGTTGCCAAAGTCTTCATACCCAATAAGCCTAGTGCAGAAAACTTGAACTTGGTTAAACAATTAAATTTGTGGTTCATGTATGTACTTTTACTTTTGAAGTTAACATATCGATACATTCAATTGATAAAAAAAAGGTGATTATGTCTACCTTCTTACTACATTTACATGGTTTATATATAAAAAAATAGAGCAATGTATATAAAATGATTAAAAACTTACATGTTGTAGACAGGTATCACTGTTTACAGATCTAGTGTGATCGATTTAATGTATTATGTTGGGTGTGTTTGACTTTGTGTTAATTTGATACAAGAAAACTGCAATATGTAATTTTATAAGTAAAGTGGACATTTATTTCGCCTGTTTTCTCTGGACAGAAGTGAGAATGTAATACAGAGACCCTAAGTATGCTCTCCTGGGTTTAACTAAGGTAATTGTAACAGGATATTGGAAATAAATTGTATTTGAATTTAAAAAAAAAAAAATTTGTGGTTCACCTTTACCACGAAATCCACGAAAATTGGTAACTCTAGAATAATAAAGAATTTTCAGTTACTGTGAGTACATACCTCCATATAACATTTTGCTGTCTTTTTTAAAAGGCTTTTTTTTAACATCACAAATATGTGCTGCATTCCGAAAATTTTCACCTCTTTTTTTTGTCATAATTTTGTTAATACTAGAAAATAAATATATTTCCAAGATATTTGGTAGCATTATTAACTTTATAAACACACACCATTTGGAATAATTTTAATCGACTATATCATCAGCTTGATTATATTGCAATGTTTTATATGTAGGGGACCATGTTTTTAAAAACTAACCGAAGTACAAAGTCAAACTATCTATCCCTGTAACATACTGTTGATTCATTATTATTCGTATACCAACTTTCATGGATTTTGTCGGTTTAGGTAATCCACCAATTAAAATGATGTCAAAACAACGAAATCAAATATCCACGAAAATACAATTTTTGCTCAATCCACCAAAATTGGTATCCATGAAAATAAATGAATCCACAGTATAAGACAACCTACCTCTCTGTTCGTCTGCATCTCCGGGTTGATTAGCTAGCTCAACTAATAGTGGAACTGCTCCACATGTATACACTGTTGTTTTGTTATTGTCATTCTTCGCCACCATTCTGATTGCTATAAAATCAAACTTCAATTTATATTCAATACTCATTCTGTGGAGATAAGAATAAATTTTCATATTATAACATTATGCAGCACAAATTTTAATTCCTCTAAAAGGCCATTTTAGTTGGTATACATATATCTGCAATTTTGAAATAATAAATTATTTTCATAAATTTTATGATTTTTCTAAAACTCTTTTTTTTATTTTCTTTGTACAAAGTAACATGGCATCATCTTTTTTACTACTTACTCCTAACAGTTTCTCGAACTGACCAACCAATTCCATTTCTCCGCATTTTGTCATTCATTCCTCTTTTAAGGCTCTTGATGGTAAATGTTATCAAACCTTCATTGCTTTTTAAAATTTCACTCTCTTCTTCATTAATAACATTTGCTAAAATTGCCAAGCTTGTCAGTTGTTTTCTTTCTTGGTATGAGTTCAAATAGGGTTTGACTGCTTCTACAATACCAACTTCTCTAAATCCTCCAGTTAGTTCCTCCTTTTGTGCAATATTATGAGAAATTCCCATATAAAGACCAAGTAAAATGGTATCATTTTCCTGAAAATCATAGAACAATATAGCTGTAAAGCAAACTGACACAACATAGTGCATTAAAACTGAAATGCATAGTGCAACTTGCAAAAAAAAAAATGCCTGAAGAGGTAATAGGTTTTAAAATCCAGATTTTCATACCTGGATATTCAAATCATTTACTTGTTCCTTGTCCATAAAAGTCATTAACCAACAAAAAAATAAAAACATCAAATTTAAACAAACAAATTACAGAGGTTGGTGGCTTCCTGAACATATGACAGGCAATATTTTGTTTGAAATAGTGTAAATGTGTGCATACGTTATCTCCCCTTACAAAGATTGCTCAATGGTATATAAAACATACATGTAAGAATAGGGTAGATAAAATAATGTAGATCTGCGTCTGTTACCCTTTCATAAGAGTTAAGGTTCCACCCTATTACATGTACTCATAATGAAGTAAATCTGAATTCATATCTTAAATAAAGAAATGTTACTGGATGAACGGAAGAAGACTGTCATGGTGATTGTAATATTTGACCTCACTCCTACTCCTAGACAGAAAGTATAATCATTTTTCATATAAAAGGTCTGAAGTTCTTTAGGTCTTAGACTATTTTCAAGCATTGTAAGTCATTTTTTCAAGAAGCTGGAATACAGTAAAATTTGTCAGAAAATCTGGTTGAACATAATGCAGCTTTGAGACAAAAACTAGTTAGACATTTGAAATACTTGCAAGTCATATTTATACATTCTATTTTATCTGAACCATAAACTGAAGGATATGTTCATTGAAACTAGGTCCTATTCCAACTCTATTACTGAAGTAATGGAAATGTGATCAAAAAGTAATCAATGATTACATGGTAATTTTGGCTGTAAAAGAATAAACTATGATTACATGTAATAAAAAATATGGATGATTACAGAATACTGTTGATTACTTGGAACATTGTAATCAATTACAACCGAATATTATAACAGATAACCATTTTACCACATCCATGGTATAATAACATAATAGTTAGTAACATTAATTACCTTCAAATCTTTATTCAAATGGGGTGTTGCCAGCTCATTCAGTTTTTGTATCAATGTATTCATAAACTCAGTCTGATCCAGAATTGTCTTGCAGACTATAGGGTTCATTAAGTCAGAAAAATTCATTAAAAATCCTAACATATTCCTTAATGGTTTGAATAATCCTACGACTGATTTTCCTTCTGAGTTTCGGTAACCATTTTTCATTATTTCCTGACTTAATCTACAAAATGTAATGATAATATTGTCCTCTGCCTTCAGGATGTCTTCTAAAACTTCATGACGGAATCGGACACGTCTTTCAAAAGAATAATTTTTGAATGAAAAATAAAATTGGTACATCTCCAAAATGTCTGCCCTTAGAGTATCTGTATAATGTCCCTCTGTAGTTCTTTCATTTTGACATTTTGAAATATCTTTTATAGCTTTTATAATTTTTTCCCTTTTTTCTCTTTTTTGCTGTTCAAAAACGTCTTCTGGTACACTATCAATAACAACGATTTCCTCATTGATATTTTCATTATCTTCTTTTACTTCCTGTTTGGCATCCATTTTGTTTTCTCCACTTTTTGTAGCAGATTTATGTTCATTTGATGTTGTTTGAGGATGTATATCTGACTTCTGTACGTAAGGGTCATTTTTATGGACCCCATGATTCAAATGGTCAAAATCTGTAGTTTCTTCCATATCTTTTCCGTGGTTCCTACTTATACAAGTTGACTTATTTGTAGCATCTTTAATATGTTTATCTTTTTCATTGACAGTAACTATTTTTGGAAGTGGATAGATTTGACTTGAACCATTTTCTTTTAAGATACTTGCTTTCTTAGTATTGTTTGGTTTTGAAACTACTGTTGGAAATGAGTTCAATTTTTTTGGATGGCTGGCTTCAGATTCAGTCAAATCGGTGATTTCACTTAAACTTATAATTTTCTCTGAATGAGGTCTTTTAATAAGTTTGTCTTTGACATAAGCACTTTTATCAAAGAAATCATGAGCATCGTATTCAACAAGAGTTAAAATTTCTGAATAGGAAAATTTTTTTGAAAGAGTGGAGGAATTTATTTTACGACGAGCGCTGAGTTGTTTCGTTACAACAAATCCTTTGAGATGCCTGTTTGATGGCAAACTAGATGGTTGGGAACCCATTCAATCATTTCCTGAAAAAATCAAATCATATTATAATTTTAATGCAATGTCTAGTATTATGTCCTTGCTTGTTTGCCAATTTTTATTCCACTTATTTTTTTCCAAAAAATTTCAAATATTTGCTGTTTAATGCAAATAGTTAAGCCTGAAAATTATTTTGAGTTCTCAATAACATCACACTTATATTTCACGGACTAAGCTCTGACTTTGTACTTGAGGTTACAATGTGCAACAGAACTGATGCCTGATGTAGAGGATATGCTTACCCTTCCAGAGCACCTGTTTCCAACTTTGGGTTTTTTATGGGTTCATGTTGTTTAGTTTTTTTTTCTGTATTGCTTTGTAGACCATTGTTTTTCAATTGTTGTCATGATTTTCTCAGCCTATCTTTGACTAATGAGATTTGATTTTCCCATTGGTATCTTTTTTTTCCCATGTTGAAAACCCCTATGCAACTCTCACAGCCAGATGTCACATACAAATTTTAATTCACAATGTACTAAAAATTGAATTCTATACATCCATAGTTTTTCTTCATGTCTAGCTATGTCATTGACAAAATTGTATTGACATTACAAGGAAACAGACAAGAAAATCTCAGTAGAAGAAAACAATTAATTTTATACATTTTCGGCAGTTGATCTTTACTTGCTTACTGAGAAATATTTGGCAAAGGACAAGTTTCACTTTAGGCCAAATATGGCCTTGAATTTCAACTTTATCATAAAATTTCAAAATTGCCATAATTTGGTTCTTAAAAGCTTTACTACTGGGTAAGTCAAATCTCTTAACTAGAGCACATTCTAGACTTCAAAGTCAGCAAATTTTTGATATATTGTGAAAAAAACAATTATTTCTTGCATTTGTTGGACCTAAAATTTTGAGGAAACCCCTGGCTGCAACCTAGGATCCAAATTGTTCTGTAGACAAAAGTTGCCAATAATGATATTGAATCCCTAAACACATAAAACGTTCTGAATCAGGGGTGGATGCCAAAGTAAATTTTGTTAAAACTGTTAAGAACTATTGAAAATTTGACTAAAACTGACATTTCAACACAAGATTTGCATATTTGAGAGGTCATTCCAAATCTAAACCTACTTGACCTCACTCCTTTGCAAACATTCATCACAAGCAATGCAAACATTCAAACTGATTGAACATATAAGAGGAGGAGGAGGAGAGAACAAAAAAAAAGTAGGATAACTCTATTTGATAAATTTAATCTGCATCTCTTTTTTCCTTTTTCACCTGGTAAATATACAGACTAAACAATATAAATTAATTAGATCTTAATCTTCACTTGTCATTATCAAGATTAAGATAGTTTCTAAACTGATATTTCTAATGTTTATAGATTTTGAAATAAATTTTATAATTTGAAGCCTGCCTCCAGGAGCAGGATTTTCTCACTATGTTGAAGACTTAATGGTGGCCTTGGGCTGTTATATGCTCCTTGGTCGGGTTGTTGTCTCTTTGACACATTCCAAGTTTCCATTCTCAACTTTATTGATTAGAATTCATTGCTTAGAAAATTATAAAAAGGCCACTCATAAAAGACAATATGACAAATATAGTTTCTTTTCTAAAAGTAATTTCAACAGCATTGACAGATATTGGAAGCCTTTCACATTTGGGCAGCAGCTCAACTTTTCCTTATCTTGTAACTTTCATTCATGTTTCCCCGTTTTTATTCTCAAAGACACAAACTATGGTTACTCAGCCTAAATTTGATTGAAAATTGTTGGTTTTTAAAGTTGTTTGTATTTAGGTGTCTTTTGTAAATTTGATAAATCCTTTATTTAACATATATGTCATGACCCTAAAAGACTATTGTTTTATAAAACATACTTCACAGACATAGACCAAACTACCACATCTCCTTATTCTTATATTAAATAAATAGAATTTTTGTCAATTAATTATGCCTAAAAAAGTTCAAAACATCCCTTTGGCAAAAAAATGTATGAATCTGCCATTGTTTCACACAGGGTAAACATCAATTGAGTTGTCTCATTGGTTAGTTTATGGTTGTGATGCAGTGCTTAGAAAATTAACCAAAACACAGTATGGTGTGATTCCAGAAAGCAGAAGTTATGATAGGGCCACTCTTTTGGCTTCTTGAATTCAAAAATCAAAAAAAGTATTATAAATTTGCCAAATAACATCCTTCAAATGGTTCAACAGACATCAGTCTATTTGACATCAGTATCTATATTTTTAAATTTTTGTCTTACAGATTGGCATACATGGCATAAGGGCTTTAAACTTCTGACATTTAGTGATCATCCGACTTATATTTAGATATGAGCAACAGCTTTAAAACTAGTTAGTATTACCCCCCAAAATAATTTTGCTACCAAATCGTTACTTCAAGTTAATGATTGTAAAATATCTTTTCGGGTTAAGCTCATAAAATTGTATTTGACCAAAAAATATGTATAAAATTGTCATTTAAGGTCATATACAGTATGTAAATTTCGAAAAGTTTATAACATTCTTATAGTGACAGCACAAGTGCTGGATTAAAGTGTGCAGATTATATCAACCTGTTAATTTATCAATATTTTTTTTATTGTTTTCCTTTTTTTATCAATAAAATTTACATAATTTTAAATTGCTTGCATTACATTTACTATTCTTGCAATTTCAGGGGCCTATTACTGAAAATTCAGAAATTATTGCATGCATTTATTATTGTGATTTTTCACGAATGGACAAAATTGCGAGTTTAATTATTACGATTACAAAAAAATCTGCATAAAGTCTGTGTTTCAGTTATCAAAATGAGAGTTCTTATTATTGCGATACTCACCCAGTCGCATTATTCACATTAATAAAAACCATGCAATAATTTCTGAATTAACAGTATTAAGGTGGTATGTAACACTACAGGGAGATAACTCTGTAAAAATTAGCTGAATGTTTTGATCACGTTCTATTGTTAAGGAAATATTAAGCTTCTCAATGATCAAAATTAGTGTTTGTCAAACTGCTATATATCCAATGAAATTTTTCTGATAAAGTGTGTGGTTTTTTGAATTTTTATATTTTTTTCAAAGGGTCAAAGTAATTATTTAGTCAAAATTTTATGAAAATTAAACGAGCCAAATTAATTTTAGTCAAGGTGTTTGGTACCACCTTAATAATGGCTCTTATTCTACCTCCTCCTTTGTTTAGTTCCTTTTCAGCTGGAGTTAAATAATTGGTCCCAAACTTGTCAATGTAATTGCAGAATTTAATTGTATATATCTTGACACATACATATTATATACTTAATATTGGCAAGTTGAAAATCTTGCCAATATATGTATCAAGTGCCCAACATCATTCCTAGCATGATTTACCCCATGTAACTGTGAGGTAAATCGTTACGGAGACTTTGTTAACAGTCTTCATAAAAGAACATAAAGCTTGCAAAATAGCGATTTATATAGAGTTTTGCTATTTTGCCGGTCTTAATTCAGATTTCTCAGTAAATCAATTACGAATAGAAAGAGATGTAGCCTCAGAAAATACACTTTGCAAAAATGCATTCATATTATAATTGATATTCTAATTAAAATTATGATAAAAATATCCCATAACTTTTGAAACTAAAAGTAAAATTAAACAACTTCAAAATGCTTTACAAGTAATACGAAACCAGTGCCGTGCTTCTGGTGCATTTTTAAGAAAGATGCTGCAACTGTGCATGAACTACACATAACACTTGTTGGATAAGGTTTTTAGAATTGTTTGTTTATGTTTTGATGTAAGCGAGAATAACACAATTATGTGTTAAACGTTATTTTAGGCTTGTAGTTTGTAATATTATGCACTACATAAGGATGCACTTGTTTGTGCAAAGTGTATACCAAGTTGGGTTTAAATTGATAAGTTTAAGGTTGATGCAGACCCTTTGGCTAAAATAACTGTTTTCACCTCAAGATTTACTCTGAGTACAGACAAACCTGTGCATCTTTAAAAGTTTTATGACACAGCATGCCCTTGATAAATAAAATTAAAAACTTAATTGGATTTTGTAGTGCACATTTTTTTTGTTCCTGCAGGAGTAGGAGTGAAAAAAAAGTGCACTGCAACATCCAGTTAAGTTTTTAATGTTGCTATGCCTTAAAACTTTTCCAAATACACAGGTTTTTCTGAACTCAGAGTACATTTTAAGGTGGAAACACATTCATTTTAGCCAAGATGTTGAATGGCGGACAATTTTGCAAGTTTTTTTACATGTATGAAGTGTAGTCTTCCATTTTCGAACGTCTATGATTTAAATAAAAAAATGATTTCATACTGTGTATAAAAGCCTTAACCATGTCAACAGGATTCTACATGTACCAATACAGATACAATACAGATATAGTCTGAAAAAAAATCTAAAATAAGACCAGCAAAAATGCAAAACATTATATATATATCACCAGTTTGCTGGAGTCAGCAAAATAGCACCAAGGAGGCTATTTTGCCGGAGGCAGTAAAGTAGCACCTAAGAGGCGATTTTGCCGGGGCCGGCTTAATAGTCACTGCCTTTTTAAAATTGTATAGTTCATAACAATTTCTCATTTTTTCTTATGTGAGTGTTTGTTTTATTATTTTGTAATTCTTTCTTAGTTATATTTCAATGTATTTCATGAGGGCCTCAGGAAAGATTAGTTTTGTAGCTTACTGTGTAACCCTCTTTATATAAAGAATTGTTATTATTATTATTATTATTGTTGTATTTGCTGAAAGGAACAAAACATCTTTTAAATATATCAAACATTATTTTCGTTATTCTAAGGTCAAGACAATATCTATTATATATGGATAGTCGACTTCCCATGGATAGAAACAAGTGCCTGTGGCTCATTCACTTTCTCTATGTAATATCAGGGTATTCCCCGAATTAACAGAATATGTAATAAATGTTCTTCCAATACTGTCGAAGATGAGGCTCATTTTCTATTTGAATGTAACAAAATTGGAGGATGATAGAAATTGTATGTTAGCTAGTATTGCAAAATATAATTCTTATTTTAATCATATGAGGAGTCAAAGCAAATTTATCTGGTTATTTAGTGTAGAAAATGTTGAGTTACTTAAAATAATATGTAATTTTATATACAAACATCTTCCTTAGTGAAGATTAGTTAAAGGAAATCTATGTGTGTATATACATTTGATTGGACATAGAAAATTATATTCATCTGAATATCACAAACATACTAGCTGATTAAAAAAAAAAAATTAATTGTTAGAATATATATTTTTTATTCAAATGTTCTCTTATATCCTTGAGGCATCGTCCCCTGGTATCAACTGCATTCAAGTTACCTATGATGCTTCCTTGTTTGCTTTTGATACAGGTAGGAAAGAGACATTTACACACATTTTACATGCCTATGGCCTATAAGGTATCACCCCCTGGTGTCAGCTGCCTTTAGGAAACCATAATACTTTCCTATTTGCTGCTGACACAGGATGAGTCATGGACATGCTTTATTTCTACTTTCTTTTTGGCTAATTATTATATGTTTAATTGATCCAACTTTTTGGGTACTATACATATATGGATATCTATTTTTCTTTTTGGGCTGCTTGTTTGTTATCTATATCAACCACACTTGCAATAAAAATTAAAATGCATTAGTATTAAAAAAAAACATACTATAGATTCTTTATCTACGTATTCTTTAAGAACTTAAATAGTTCTCGTTAAACTTTTTTTTTTATCTCATTGTTTGTATTGTATTATGAAAAATTATTAATGTTGTAATGTTTTTGCCCTTTGGGGCCCATAATTGGAAATAAAATATCTTATCTTATCTATGTTGACCGGTCCAATTATATTGTGTGCTACCTTTCTGATGTTTTCTTTTTCTTAATTATACTGATTTATCAAAGCTTACATTTACATTACATGCAAAATACATGTCCTTTACTATGCAGATTTTATCTTGTTAGTTAAGAATGTTAATTAATAAACAGCTTGGAAACTTGTAAACAAACAGGTTGAAACGGAAGCTCAGAAATATATTAAACGTTTCCTCATCATAAAACGTTTCAAAGACTATGAGTTGATTTAGCCAAATTGAGTTGTCGTCCTTACCCCGCGAAAGGTGGATTATCGTGACCTACATAATGAATAAGTCCCAACCTCTCCAGTAAGCTGTAATTATCACATCCATAAATGAATAATGAGCTGTTTCTTTGAAATATTTGAACATATAAAACTTATTGACGAAATCCAAGTATATCATCATCAGAAAAAAGAACCCTGACATTCTTTGATAAATGCTTGTAAAGCCACTAAAGGTTTATGTGGACCCTTATTCCAAATAATCAAGACATCATAATTACTTTGACTAGTGGATAAAAGGACTGCATTTTCAACTCAGAATTTACTTTGCAGACAAACCTGTTTATCTGGGAAAAAATTAAGCCATGTCATGCAGTATAGATAAATAAAATTCATATATATGCATTTTATGTTTTAAAGAGAAAAAACTTAACTGGATTTTGTAGTGCACTATTTTTCGTCCCTGCAGAAGATAATTCATCCTTAGGTTCCAGTGGCAGATCCAGAACTTTTCATAAGGGGGGGGGGGGGGGGGGGGGGGGGGGGGGGGGGGGGGGCCGCTCCAGTCATGCTTCAGTGATTTCCTATATAATCTTGTTATCAATTACAAAGTTGGAAGTAATTTAAAGTAATTTGTGATTGAGCATATTTTCATTTACATATAATTGATAGTAATGAATTGCATTGCCTTTTTGGCATGTAATTATGTATTATTTTACCATGATTTTAAGTAACATTTGAGTATCAGCTTGGAAGTTAAAACCTTTCTTGTTTTCTATGGTAAACTCACAAATGAATTTTTTTTTTATTATGATAATCAGTTAATTGATGGTGGCTGCATAGTGGTAGAAGTAATAGGTGTTGTATCTCTAGTCAGGAGGTTCTCCCAGTCATGAGCACATAACCAACACCAGTGGTCCTCTTGATAGCTGAAGCTGAGAACGGAGTCTGTGCATGCCTGCAGCACCCTCTTGCAAATAGTGATCAAACTGAGATAGAATATATATGAAAAGACAGTTAATACGCCATAATATAGAGGTATCATAATAGTATATAGAACCTTACACCCACACACACGTTAGTCCAGGTCAGGGCCTTTCAGGGGACAATGGTTTGCCATGAGACGAACGCCACATTATGTGCAATTTGTAATTTTGATTTCTATTTTTAAACCTAAAGTTTAGATTGTAAAACAATTAGTATATTTAAGAAGAAAAAAAACATAACATTACAATATAATCTCTACTGGTTGGGGACCATCAGTTACCAGTTACTTTCCCTTCCATTTTATACAATAAAAGATGTGTTGTGTTGATACTGCATACTGCTATTATCTTCATAGAAACACTCTTTATTTCAATTTTCAAAAACTTGGTTTTGTTTGATCCTTTCAAGTCTCTCTTTTTCCATGATGGGAAGATATGCATGCGGGTACATGACGTCATCACCTTATGGCGCCCTCAGTTTTAGAAAACTAACCATTTCAAATAAAGTAATAAAGAAACTAATGGCAAGGTTACTTTGGACATACAATTTTCATCAAAGTAATAAAAAGGTTTATTAATCTAAGGATCAATTTCTATGATCCTCTTAAGTATTTATTTTTTATTATCTCCTGTTTATCCATTACAATGAACTTTTTCAGTTTTTAATGATAACAAAAAATGATAAAATTGATATGAAAGTGTAGTCTTATAAAAAAAATATTCAAAAAATTGCTGACAATTTATAAGGTGCGAAATGAAAATTTGATGCCTATGATTTACTGTAATTTTCAATTTACCAAAACGTAAAGTCATTCTTGATTTTTTTTAATTATCTCCCTTTGGCTGTAAATATTTTTTCTCACAAACCAAAATATTTTAAGATGTAATATTATTTATGGCTCAAAAAGTAAATAGAATAAGCCAATTTTGTTATTCTCAAGGCCACGGGCATCTTTAAAATTAAAAGTTTGAAGAAATATATATATATATTAAATTTGATTAACTTCATTTTTTGTCAAACAAGAGGATGTCTTGGGTACTAAAAATGAAAATGTTAAAACTATGAATGCTTACCCCATCCCCACACACTCATTCATATTTTCATTCATTTTGCCTGGCATTAGCCAAAAATATGAATTTATTTCCTTTTGATAATTGATTGTTTATGTATATTCACATAATTTATTTTGTTTTGTGCATGAAAAGCCAATTATCAAATCAGGATATAAACTACCTATGCATTTCCTGCAGAAGGTTGGTGGTTCTCTCTGGGCACTCTGGCATCCTACACTAATATAAACTGACTGCCACAATATAACCAATAGTAGCACTGAAAGTGGAGTTACACACCAACAATCAATTAAACCTCTAAATTTAAACCTCTACACTTTAAACCTCTACACTTTAAACTTCTAATTTTAAACCTCTACACTTTAAAAACATAATTTTAGAATTGTTTCTGCAGTCTCCTTTTTATACCCCCGCTTTAAAAAAGTGGGGTATACTGTTTTACCTGTCTGTCCGTCCGTCCATCCATCCTTCCATCCGTCCGTCCGTCCACACATTCACTTGTTGATTTTGTTTTAATAAATCCTTCTAAGATATATATATCATAATGTATTGGTTTAATTAGGTATGGATGCTGTAAACAGATCTATATTTTTTTTGGCCTTATAAGAAAGCTGACACCTGTCTATAGTTGAAGACCTCTAGATGTCTTTTAGTTATTTGTGTTGTTTGGTTGATGTCTCATTGAAATATAAGAATAAAAATAAATTCTTTATTTTAATGTGGTACAAAACACCTTGACTAGAATTAATTTGGCTCGTTTAATTTTCATAAATTTTTGACAAAATATTTACTTTGGCCCTTTGACAAAAATATAAAAATTTCAAAAAAACTTGAACCACACACTTTATCGGAAAAATTTCATTGGATATATAGCAGTTTGAAAAACACTACTTTTGATAATTGAGAAGCTTAATATTTCCTTAACAATAGAACGTGATTAAAACGTTCAGCTGATTTTTACAGAGTTATCCCCCTGTTGTGTTATGTAGCACCTTAAGATGGTAAACAACTTAACTTTGTGAACAAGTAACACACAAATCAATCTTCTTTAAGAAACTGATATATATACAATATTTTATTATTATTATACAATATTTAAAAAGCCCATTATCTAATGAAAAATTACTGTTAGTGTTTTAAACCACACAAAATAATCATATCAATTAACAAACTAAAATATGGTAAAAAGGGGTGAAAAAATAAAACTAGGGAGAATTTTATAAATGAATTATACAATACAAATCAAAACAAATATTTGCACTTATTTAGCATATTCAGTTTATGTTCATATAGTTCAATGTGTCATAAAGATAAAACTGTTCAAGGTACATGTATATGATAAAAATTTATAAAAATTATAAACATATAAAATTAATATATTCTGAAAAAAGATACCAGATTTCTTCACATGACAGTAATTCTATTTATATTTTGTCCCATGTACATTTACTCCATATCCTTTCATTTTCTATACAATATTTCACCAAGGTTGTCCTTTGCATTTGACCCATTATACCACTTTCGAAATCTTGCATTTCCGTCAAAAACTTTGGTTTAAGTGAATATCATTTGTGCTTGTAGGGGCATTGTCACTCCCTCCTGAGGTTGAGCTAGCGATTAAAAAAATATGAATTAATTATGCTATATTGCACGAATTATTCAGCAAATTAAATTCTTAGAATTGATAATTAGCACTGCTGTCATTAGCAATATATTGTATTTGTGGTTATAAAAATTGCTTATTTTGTCTGTCTTAGATTGAATTATGTCCATCTTATCACCTCAAACATGTGAACATTTTACCTTTTTTTTTTAACCCTTTCAGTTTTGCATGAGAAATGCGTACCAGTATGAACTCATTAGATACAAAGGGGGTACTCTACAAACTTTCATATTTGGGACAAAAGCTTGCAGTGAAACGTTTGTTGTCTTTTTCTGTTACCTGATTAATGTCGTAAAATATTATTAATCTTTTGGAGCAATTAAAATATATAACCTTGTGACACACATTACAAACTGTATTTAAAAAGATGTACATGGAAAAGTAATGGGCCTATTTCACTTTGAGTAGAATAACATTTTGAATTAAAAATGATAACATTAGATTATGAAAATCATAAATGTACCATGGTTTGATTTTGGAATTTTATGAAAAGAAAAAATGGGAAAACCCACACTTAAAAAATGTTTTTTTTTTTGTATTGAATTAGTATGTTGGAAATCAAAGGATAGCATTCTAAAAGTCTTTGTTTAAAATGTAATCTTCATAATGGTTAGTTCTTCCTTTGTCAAAAATATGAAATATTTAATAGGTTTTCATTATTTATGGCCAGACAAGAGCCCTTATGATAGCAGTTCAAAAATTCTAATTTTGCTCTGTAAATAACACGGTTACACTTTAGAAAACAATGGTTTTTATCTCTTCTCTGATGATGACCACTGGTCAGTGTTGACCATTGTCCATCTTCAGCCATCTGTTTGTATAATGACTACTCCAACAAGAGGATGACCTGCTCCATTGGTCATCCTCGTGGACAGGTCAGAAATATCAATAACATCACGCCTGCAGGGGTTAAAAATCTGTGTTCAATAGCCAAATTTATTATCATGGATGCTTTTTGGTGTTGGAAGTGCAAATCATACTTTGACAGTTAAATGAATAAGACGATTTTTCAGAAAAAGACTTTCAGTGTCTTCTTTATACAAAACACCTTTAATTGAAGCAGCTGTTTTAGGTATCAGTACAAAACATTGTAGAATTGAATAGCCATGGAAGGTGAAATAAAGTCAGACTTGATAAAAATTAAATGCTAATTTACAAATCATTGAAATTTTTTAATTCATGGCTTTTGTTCCTTTTAAAAAGGATGAGACATTTTAATCCAATTGCCCACAAGTCTTCTTGACTTTTCACCTTACATCTTTTTAGTGTGAATCTCGTCTTTTTAATTGTATGTTTGATTTCTGAGCCCTGTTTGGTGACGGGAGAGAATTGCATTTTAAGGTTAAAATGCTGATTATTGTTTGACCTATTTAAACAATTGGATGTTAGCTTTAATCTCTTTTCTGCATCTGTGAGATAAAAATCACATCTGCCAAAATGTAATAATCAGAAATATGAATTGATATAGTATTTTTAAAGACTTTATTCGAGCTTAAGAAGATGTATTCATTCACTTATTTGGTGGACCATTTTTTTGTACTCCTTATATTTTTTTTAACATTTTTTTTTAAATATATGCATTCTTAGATTCAAGATTTTTGTATGTTATTGTGGAAGGGGGTCATTTTTTTCTACCCTTCAAACACTTAATTTTGCAAAGTATGTTAGCAGAAACATAGACATATTATAATTGACCTCACTGTAGTTTAACTAGGAAACAGATTGATTTTGATACTTTATTACAATTAGAAAAAAGTTCGACAGAATTTTGGGGTAGATTTATAGATGTTAGGGGTTAGATTATGACCGAATTTTGGGGTATATTTATAGATGTTAGGGGTTAAATTATTTCAGAATTTTGCTGTTGAGGCATAATTTTGGGTTAAAGGGGTAAAGTTATTAGTAAATTATTGGAGTAAGTACTATAAATTCAGAAATTATTGCGTGCATTTATTATTGCGATTGTTAAAAAATGGACACAAATGCGAGTTTAATTATTGCGATTTCAGGAAAATCTGCATAAAGATATATGTTTCAGATATCAAAATGCGAGTTCTTATTATTGCAATACTCACCCAGTCGCATTATTTGCATTAATAAAAACCTCGCAATAATTTCTGAATTTACAGTATTTCGGAACTTTGGATTAAAGTTACCGGTATAACAAAATTTGGGAGTAAATATATTCAGAATTTTAGAGTAAAGTTATTATGGTATTTTGGGGTAAAGTTGTCACAGAATTTTGGGTAAAGTTATTACAGAATTTTTGGGTAAAGTTATTACAAAATTTTTTGGTTAAGTTATTACAGAATTTTTGGGTAAAGTTATTACAGAATTTTTGGGTAAAGTAATATTACAGAATTTTTGGGTAAAGTTATTACAATATTTTTGGGTAAAGTTTTTAAGGAATTTTTGGGTAAAGTTGTTACAGAGTTTGAGAGTAAAGTTATTACAGAAATTTTGGGTAAAGTTATTACAAAAATTTTTGTGTAAAGTTGTGACAGAATTTAAGAGTAAAGTTTTGAAATTTATTTGGAGTAAAGTTATAAAATTATTTTGGGGTTTTAGTTCCTTGTCATATGAAATTTTATTAGAGTATTAAGATTCTATGTTGCACATTACATTTGTATGCAAATTTGATTTAAAAAAAAGTATATCTTATTTTTATTTTAATTTCAGGTTTTGGATGGTAAAATTTGAATGTATTCATTAATCTATATTAAAAGGCTTTTGAGAAAAGGAAGATATATAGTGTAAGTTAATCATAGAATTAATTACAGAGGAACAACTGTATACATCCATTATTGTTGCTCTTCATCATAACAGTTGTTGAATGGCCTTCTGCATTGAATTTAGAACAAACAGCGAATATCATGGCCAGGGTATTTTACCTAAACTACATTCAACAATACCTGAAAACAAGAAGAAAACCCCATAAGAAATAATGATTCAAAATCTTATATACTGTGGATTCATTATTTTTTGTTGGATACCAATTTTCGTGGTTTTCGTGGGTACAGGTGAACCACGAATTTAAATGTTCAACGAATTACAAATTTTCTATCAGGTTGTATGCAGACTTCAGCAAAACCATGAAATCACATATCCACGAAAAGGCAAGTTTTCTGCAATCCACGAAAATTGGTCTAGAAAATAAATGAATCCACAGTAGTTAAAACCATATACTGTAAACAATCATACTTTTATTGGAGGCCTCAGTGGCCGGGTGGTCTAAGTAGTTCATCTACTCTACTACTAGCCCTGTCAACACTGAGGTTATGAGTTCAAACCCTGCATGTGCAGGTGTGTTCGACTCCTGAATCTTAATTGACTTGGCTTGCCAGATTTCCTACCAAAGTTTGTTGGTTCTCTCCCGCTACTCAAGAAACCTCCACCAATAAAAACTGACCGCCACAAAATAGCCAACAGTATTGGAAGTTATGTTAAACACCATCAATCAATCGATCTTAGTTTCATGGATATATTTTGTTCAGATTAAACCCTTTCGAGAAGACTGCTGTTAAAAGATACATTTTCCTAAGTTTCCAACTTTGTTGATGTCATTATAAGAAAAGATTCTAGTTTGAAATATTGACGACGATCTAAAATTCAAATTATTTTTAGCTCACCTGGCCCAATGGGCCAAGTGAGCTTTTCTCATCACTTGGCGTCCCATCGTCCTTGTCGTCCATCTTCGTCCGTTAACTTTTACAAAAATCTTCTCCTCTGAAACTACTGGGCCAAATTTAACCAAAATTGGCCACAATCATCATTAGGGTATCTTGTTTAAAATATGTTTCCAATGACCCCGCCTGCCAACCAACATGGCCGACATGGCTAAAAATAGAATATAGGGGTAAAATGCAGTTTTTGGCTTATATCGCTGAAACTAAAGCATTTAGAGCAAATCTGACATGGGGTTAAATGTTTATCAGGTTGAGATCTATCTGCCCTGAAATTTTCAGACGAATCAGACAACCCGTTGTTGGGTTGCTGCCCCTGAATTGGTAACTTTAAGGAAATTTTGCAGTTTTTGGTTATTATCTTAAATATTATTATGGATAGAAATAAACTGTAAATAGCAATAATGTTCAGCAAAGTAAGATCTGCTTGCAAAAGTTGCGAAAAAAAATCTGGAGTATAGTAAATTTTGTATAAGACAATTTTTGCTATATTTAAGGTAAGCATATTTACCCTGGCAAATATATCACTGCCTATTTAAAAACACAAGGTGGTAAAGATTTAACTGCGTCATTAATATGGACTAAATTCCAACAAAAGCAGCACCCAAAATAATCTACAGATATATAATATAATCATGTTTATATGAACTGCAACATGATCATCAGTGTAGACAAGATATGATATTTATATCCCACGGAACTTTGTTCCGTAGGGTATAATGTTTTTGACCTGTCCGTCAGACTGTCTGTCCATCAGTCCTGTTCTTGTCATCTCAACTCCTCTGAAACCACACAACATTATTTTATGAAACTTTGTAGATAATAAGGACATACTATGTAGATGTGCATATCGACAGGAAAATAGGATTCAACTTTTTTTTCTAGGAGTTATACCCCTTTGAACTTAGAATTTTAGCATAAATATACTACTGCAACAGTTTGTCATCGCAACTCCTCTGAATACATGCAACAGAATTTCATGAAACTTTGTAGATAATAAGGACATACTATGTAGATGTGCATATGGTCAGGAAATTATGATTCATTTTTTTTCTAGGAGTTTTCACCACTTTGAACTTAGAATTTTTTTTCCTAAATATTCTACTGCATCTCAATTCCTCTGAAACCACACAAAAGCATTTTATGAAACTTTGTAGATAATAAGGACATACTATGTAAATATGTAAATCCTATGTATAGGAGTTGAGCCACTTTGAACTTAGGAATTTGGCCTAGATATTCTACTGCAACAGTTTGTCATGGCAACGCCTCTGAAACTAAATAACAGAATTTTATGAAACTTTGTAGATGATGGGGACATAATATGTAGATGTGCATATCCACAAGAAATTTTTATCATTTGACTTTAGTAGGAATTTTGAGTCTTTTGACTTAGGAATCTAGAGAGATTTTGTTTGCCCTGTGACAATGTGGGGGTGTAGTGTATGTGAGCATGCTCACAAAATTTCTTTAATTGTTTTTATAAAATAAATATTTTTATTCACTTTTGGCATCATTTTGGAGAGCAAAGTGCAAAATTTTCCTTCATAAATCAACTAAATTCAAATTGCTATACTGTCGGCTAGACTTTATAAATAAAAATGTTCTTATGATTGCCAATGAGACAACTATCCACCAGAGACCAAGGATAAGGATGTAACTACAGTGTAGATGCGGTAGATAGGGTGTTTTTTTGTGAGCAACCCTTTTGGGGATTTTTCAAATAGTACTTTTCTAGTTTAATTATATTTTTCTAAGTATCATTCAATATACAACAGAAACATCTAAAACTTGAAATTGAATATCAATAAATTAAGAGTATCTAAAATTTTCAGAAAAACGTCATTTTAAAATCAAGGGCAGATAATTATTTTTAATTTGATAGGACAATTTGTGTTTTTTGAACTTTTCTAGAAAGTAAGGCTTGTGACCCCATATCTTTATCTTATATTTCAGAAGTATGGATAAAAAGCAATTCTCTCAGTGAATTTTAACCAATTCTATCATCTAATGTTTCCTCAATAAGGAAAAATTAAGTTTCCCCTATATATAACCCATATAAAATAACTGTGATTTCGTTAATTTCAATGTATTCTAACAAAAAAACAAGGTCAGAGTTACGAAAATCAACCAGTTTGCTCTCCATCTTAGCAGTAAATGGTAAGAAATCAACTCAAATTTTGCCATTGAAAAATTATTGATTCATGGTAGAGTTTATTCCAAATAATTATGACGTCTTCACTCATTTCAACTTTTCAACGGCTGAGAAAGGCTATTTTAATTTTTTAACTGAGACACTTTTGTCACAATAAAAATAAAAAATAGCCTTTCAGGACTTCATGATCATTTGGACTTGGTAAAGTTAGTATGTATTAATAATAGATTTGTCCTATTTTCAGTACAAAGTTCAATGTTCAACCAGTTCTTTTCATATATATATTTTGCAGGTGTTTAAAAGAAGTGTTAAATGAGAAATAATCATTTTGTTTTTAAACTTGCTGTTTGTTTTTCAGAATTTTTGCACTTGTCAAATGTTTTAGAAAACTCGGTGAATAAACTGACATTCTGTTTATTTGTATTTAACAAAGGAGTACATATGTACTGGTTATCAATAAAATTAAACAATTTACACTTAGGTTTTCAAATTCAATATATATAATGTTTGTGAATTTTTGTTTTTGAAAGAAACATTTTGTTTTTATTTTTTAATTCAGAGTTCAATACTAAATGAGGAGTAAGATTCAGAATGTGCCTGCTGAATAATATTTTTTTTACTATTTGGGAATGGGGGGGGGGGGGGGGGGGTTAACTTTTTCCTACCCACCAACTCTGTAAAGCATGATAATGGAAACAGCTTGAATAATTTTTATGAAACTACAAAAAAATTTGTGGTCCTATATTGGTATCACGTCGTCGTTGTCCGAAGACATTTAGTTTCCAGACAATAACTTTAGTTTAAGAAAATAGAAATATGTGAAATTTAAGCATAAGGTTTATAACCAAAAAAGGAAGGTTGGGATTGATTTTGGGGGTTATGGTCCCAACAGTTTAGGAATTAGGGGCCAAAAATAACTTGTGGAACAGTGTATAATGGATCTCTCTGAAATTATACCACAAGTTTCCATACCACAAAGGGATGGTTAGGATTGGCTTTGGGGGGGTTATGGCTCAAACCGTTTAGGAATTAGGGGCAAAAAAGTGAGAAAAAACAAGGGTGGCCTGGTTAATGGACAATTACTTAAGTACAAATTACAGTGTAAGGGAGGTAATTCAAACACAACTTTGAATTACCTACCTTACACTGCTTTTAAATTATGTATAAAGAATTTTTGTATTTTCTTGAGGTGATTAGCTGTCAATTCATTTTTAGAAGTTACTATTTTAATAATTTTAAAAATGCTGATTAAGGTAAATTAATTTAAGCTATGATTATGTATGTCATTTTTAAAGGCAGTGCTTTAATGCCTTTCTGGTTGCCGGGTTAATCTTTCCTTCCGCTGATATCCAACTTATCTACGTGGGGGGTCATTAGGCTCCAAGTAGATCCGGAAATGTTGAATTCTCTCCTCTTCTTATTGTGATATAAAATGTTTTTTGTTTCATTTCATTTACATTGGGAAATAGAGAAACAATCGTTGTGTTTTGTTAGTTTTAAAAACTTTTGATATATTTGTATTTTGCATTATAAGCAGTCAACCGATTGACAAACTAGAATTATTTGAATTCCGTGTGGAAAGAGGTCGAGTTAATTTCGAGTGTTATCTGCAATCTAGATGTTTATAAATCATTTCAGTCGTTAATATAATAATTAAAGGTCGACTGAACATGAATTATATTATACAATTTAAAGCGCATTTCTGTTTATGCACATGAACCCGTCTAACGTTATTGTTATTTCGTAGTTACATAAAGTAGCAAATTATCGTTCCTGAATAGGTGGCGCCGTGGTAGCCGATCCTGTTCCTCAACTTCCGGTTTCTGCACTGTGCAACTATTACAGTGACATTTTCAATAAACGATGCCAAGTACTTGTTGTTGTGTACCTGGATGTCATTAAGAGAAGGACATGCATTTCCAAATGACTTAAAAAGAAGGAAAAGTTGGATCAACGCCATGGCCCATATGCAGATTGGACGAGAACACGTTGAAATCGTGGAGTCCATCTCACTCAGCTGTTGTTTCCAAGGTACATTTTACTGAAAAAGACTACGTGCAGGAAACTATTCATGGTAAAACTCTATTTTCTTTTTGAAATATATAGTTATATATGTAATCACCATGCGAATAAATCAATGTCTGTTTACAACCGCAATTATCGTTTTAGAATAAAAGGGGGTGGTTAATTCAAGACGTCATAATTTTTCGGATTACGATTCAATGTGATCTGTTTGAGATTTTTTGGTGATGCTACAATTATAATGATTTCTTACAGGAGGTATATCATACTGGGAATTATTTTAGCAGTAATTATGCTAATGTAGTAATGACAGGAATGCAGAAGCTATGCCTCATAGACTTTCTTGAAAAATATCAATGACAATGTTAACAGGAACAAAACAATGAATTCTAGTCAAATCGGCACCTGGTTAAATCGGCACCTGGTCAAATCGGTACCCGGTATAGTCAAATCGGCACCTAGTCAATTTGGCACCTGGTTAAATCGGCACCCGATGAAGTCATGGTTGTTGGTTTAATGCTGTTTAAAGTTTCCTGAAAAACCACCATAATTGCTAATTATTTTGCATGCAAGTTTGATTAGTGATAGTAATGAAAGGAACTCATAGTTTTCCCTTTTATTGCATCTAATTTTCTCATAATTAAACAACAGCTTGGGTAATGGCTTCATTGTTTATTATTAAGTTTTTGAAGAAAAAACAGCAATAACTACCTGTATAGAGTTAAAACAACAAACATGTTAATTATGTAATTGATAAAAGTTATTAATTAATTAATTGAAAAGAAAACTAATCAAAACATCAGTCATAGAATGTTGAGAAAACTTTAAACAATAAATTTTTAAATTTATTTTTAAAGATGCAATGAATGATAAAATCCAACCCCAAAAATAATCATAAATAGAAAGATCATTTATACATTTTTAGAATTATTTATATATATATATTATATCAAATATTATTGGATGCCGAATTGACTTTAAATAGGTGCCGATTTGACTAGATGCCGATTTGACCAGGTGCCGATTTGACTTGTACCCAAAACAATGACATGCTCTCATCTATATTATAGTTATTTAGGTACAAACAATGTACGTTTGTTGCATAAGTCTCTCATTGTTTGTCCTTTGGATTTACATAACATACATTGAATCAGGCAAACATAGTTTTATCCAGATTGTAATGAATAAATCTAGTTAATATTTTGCCAGTTAGTACAAAGTATACATTGCTAATGGAAGTTCATTTAATTAATAAAAAACTAATGTTTTATAACCTTTTTCAGGGCGCAAACCCTCCATACAGAGACTTAAGTCTACTGCCATTCCCAGCCTATTTTCCTGGACCAAGCAAGAGACTGAACCGTCCCCAAAAAGAAAAATCAGGGCAGTTACCTGTGAAAACAAAAGAACTAAACTTGATGAATATTGTAGTAGAAATCTAGAGGAAAGTTTTGATTGTAAAGTTGGTTTTCCTGAAGAAGTCATTCATACTGCAGAAAGGATTTATGACTGTCCACCACCAACTGTCGAGCTAATGTTGAGCTTCACAGATGGAATTACGCAAACACCATCAATGCCTATGTTTTCAGCAGAGAATTTTGAAATGATGACATGTGACACAGCCATTCATTTTTATACGGGTTTAGAGTTGTATACTAAATTTTTATTTGTTTTGACCACACTTGGTCCAGCACACATTGTTTGAGATACATATATTTTCAAATTGATAGGGTGTCAGTCTTATACGGGATTGAAAAGTCTCCAATTAACACTTGCACATAGAGCAAATTATTGGACTTGGCAAAACATACAAAATTCTAATAAATCCTATGAATGGAACTGAAACAAAACTTTCATCTGAAATAACATTTAGTTGTATTATGTTGTGTAATTTTAGAACTTGTATTATGCCAAAGGATGCATAAATATAAGTGACGCAATGAATTTTGTTCTGATATATATATATTTACATGCACATGCACATGTAAATTGTAATGCATATAAAAATAAGGAGATGTGGTATGATATTCAGTGAGTTTATCGAACCAAAGTGCATAAGAAATGGGTTTAAGCAGTTACAGGTGTTACTGTCACCGTACAATCTCCAACAATGAGAAAAACTCGTACCGTGTAAAAAATTTCAGAGATCTTACAACTAAGTTTTGTTGTCTCACCTTGACTTTGGTGAATTGTTTATATCTGTTGATGTAAATATAAAAAAGAAGATGTGGTATGATTGCCGATGAAACAACTCTCCACAAGAGACCAAATGACACAGAAATTAATATAGGTCACAGTACGGCCTTCAATAATGAGCAAAGCCCATAAAGCACTTTCAGCTATAAAAGGCCCCGAAATGACAATGTAAAACAATTCAAACATGAAAACTAACGGCCTAATTTATGTACAAAAAATGAACGAATAACAAATATGCAACACATAAACAAACGACAACCACTGAATTACAGGCTCCTGACTTGGGACAGGCACATACATGTACATACAGAATGTGGCGGGGTTAAACATGTTAGCGGGATCCCAACCCTCCCCCTAACCTGGGACAGTGGTGTAACAGTACAATATAAGAACGAACTATAAAAATCAGTTGAAAGAGGCTTAACTCATCAGATGGATAAATACAAATACAAGTGGACGTGGCCGGGTAGTTGTACATCCAAACAACAAAAAGACACTAAGTACAGATATGAGAGTACTCGCAGTTACTGACAGCTAGTTCAAAGCCACTAACAACTGATAAAAAAATCTTGCATCTAAGACTAAATTATCCATATGTAAGCTCCCTTTTGAATTTTATAAATTTTAGATTTTACATTTCTGAGTTATGGGGTTTTATTCATTAAAAAAGGGGGGATTTTCCAGTTTTTGGACAACAACTCATAAATGCTTTAAGCAGTTCGCATGAAACTTTGGTGAATTATTTATAGCTATTGATGTAATCTCCCTATTGATTTTATAAATTTCAAATATGACATTGAGAAGAAATTGAACTTTATTTGTTTATAGTCTGGCAACAGATTTATTAAGTATTGCGCAACAGCACAGTGTATTGCACAAAGCAAGAAATCTTTAATTGAATATATATTCAATTCATATAACCGATTTCAAGTTCTTTGTCTACATTTATTCAGAAACTATAATATGTCAAATATTTAATTACAATCCAAATTCAGACCTGTATCAAGCTTGAATATTGTGTCCATTTTTGCCCCAAATGTTCAGGGTTGGACCTCTGCGGGTGTATCCAGCTGCGCTCAGTGAATCAGTTTATTTCTTAATTAAGAACTCCTTTTTAGCTCACCGGGGCCCTTTTTGGCCCCATGTTCAGGCCCCATGTGAGCTTATGCCATCACTTGGCGTCCGTCGTCGTCTGTCGTCGTAAACTATTTCAAAAATCTTCTCCTCTGAAACTACTGGGCCAAATACCTTCAAACTTTAACTAAATGTTCCTTAGGGTATCTTGTTTATAAATTGTATCCGAAGTTTTGATCCATTGACAAACATGGCCACCATGGCTAAAAATAGAACATAGGGGTCAAATGCAGTTTTTGGCTTATATCTTAAAAACTAAAGCTTTTAGAGCAAATCTGACACAGGGTAAAATTGTTCAATTGGTCAAGATCTATCAGCCCTGAAATTTTCAGATGAATCGAACAACCCACTGATGGGTTGCTGCCACTAAACTAAATTGGTAGTTTTAAGGAAATTTTGCAGTTTTTTGTTATCTTGAATATTATTATAGATTGATATAAACTGTAAACAGCAATAATGTTCAGCAAAGTAAGATCTACAAAAAAGTTAATAAGACCATAATTGTCAATTGACCCCTTAAGGAGTTTTTGCCCTTTTAAGACAATTTTATAGAATTTGTTCATAAAGTTTGCTAACATTTAAAAATGTTCTCCTCTAAAATACAGGTGAGCGATTCAGGCTCTTAAGAGCCTCTTGTTTCATTCATAAATTACTTTATACTTGGAAATATAATTTTGCTTGGAGTTATAGTTTCTAAAAAAAGTATTGTCATTGAAAGAGTTGACATGTTGCAATGTACATTTATTCTACATAGTACTATGATACCAAATCAAAAGTTTATATAAAAGAAAGAAGTCAAAGGTTTCCCATCATAGTTTAGTTACATACATTTTTTTGGTACCTGAGGTCGTTGAATATAGATCATTATATAAATAAGGAGATGTGTTATGATTGCCAATGAAACAACTATCATCCATACTTACCAGTAACAAACCACATTTGCAAAGTTGAATAAAATACAGTTGATAACATTTACTTATTACTAAAAAGAAAATGCCTAACTATTTTAAACAGTATTTGACTATAAACATTGATAAAAAAGGTACAAACTGGACATGCACTAGTTCATAAACAAGTGAGAACAATCGCCTTCATATAATGCTCAGAATATGACATTCATAAAACTTGTTCAATATCATTAGAGAACTCTAAATCTTAAAAACTGAAAGCCACCTCTGATAAGTACACTACTATGCAAGATAATGATATAACTGGACTAAAAATACACACAACCTGTAATTAACTGCCTTTACAGCGCTTTCACGCTTTGATTCGATTTTAAGACTTTTATGATGTATTTAAATGGGTTATTATGGTTGCAAACTCCATTGGAAATTTTAATTGAAATTATGACCATGACTGAGGGAAAGAATTTTTTTTGGGAAAAAGTGGGGGGGGAGTTTAAAAAAAAATGGGGGGGGGGGGGGGGGGGGGGGGGTAAAAAAAAAATTTAAATTGGTGTTGGGGGTGGGGGGTGACAATTTTTTCTCCTCAAGATTTCAGAAATCAAAAAGAAAATCCTTCAATTTTTTTTTTTGAAAAAAAAGGGGGGAGATCAATTCGCAACAGCATAGTGTATTGCACAAAAGCAAAAAATTAAATATAAATTCAAATCATATAACCAATTCTAAGTTCTTTGACTACAGTTTTCTGTGTCAGAAACCTATTATGTGTCAAATATTGAATTACAATCCAAATTCAGACCTGTATCAAGTGTGAATATTGTGTCCATTTTTGTCCCAACTGTTCAGGGCTGGACCTCTGCGGTCGTATCCAGCTGCTCTCAGTAAAGCAATTTATTGATACTTTATTTTGAATAGAAAAAGTTGCTGCGGAATTTTAATGGTAGATTTAAAGATTTTAAGGGTTAATTTATTACAGAATTTTAGTGTTAAGTCATAATTTTGCGGTGAAGTTATTACAGAATTTTGGTGATAAGTTATAATTTTTGGGTAAAGCTATTACAGAATTTTGGACAAAAATTATTACAGAATTTGGGAGTAAAGATATTCAGAATTTTTGGGTAAAGTTATTACAGAATTTTGGTGGAAAGTTGTGTTAGAATTTTTTTCAGTAAAGTTGCTTCAGAATTTGGAAGTAAAGTTATGAAAGACATTTGGATTAAAGGTATTACATCATTTAAGGGTTTTAGTTTCCTGTCATAGGAAATATTATTTTTATTTCAGAGTATAAAGATTCTATGTTGCACATTACATTTATATACAAATTTAATTTTAGAAAATTAAAAATAATTTTTAAATTTCAGGGTTTGGACAATGAAATGCTTTTGAGAAAAAGAAGATTCAATTCAATTCAAAGCTTTGTTTATAGTCGGCATGTCACATAACAAATAAACATAAGCTCTTTGAGCTTTTGTAACCAACAATTGTGTAACTTAATTAAAGAATATATTATAGAGGAACAACTATATATATATCCCAAAATCAGTGCTGCCATTGTTGATCTTCATCATAACAGTTGTTGGATGCCCTCCTGCTGTGAATTCACTCAAACAGCTTTAGAAATCAACCCACGAAAATTGGTATCCAGGAAAACTAATGAATCCACAGTAGAGAAAACTATATACCGTAATCCAACTTACCATCACAGATAGATTTTATTTCTGGGTAAGCCCATTCTAGCTCCAAAGATTTGCTTTCATAACTCTGTTTATGTATTTTTATAAGAGACAGATTCTAGTTGACATATTCACGAGGATTGTTTTTCTGTTTGCAAAAGTCATAAAAAGTAATTTGGTGTACGTGTACAGTATCAACAATTTTAGCTAGGGAAACTTAATGGTTACCCAATGCAAAAAAGCCTTTCACTGTCCATTTAAACACTTTGCACAAGGTTGTAAAGATTAACTACTCCTTCTTTAACAGTTGCAAAATTCGAACAAAATCTAAAACCAAAATAAACCAGCAGATATATATAATATAATAATGTTAGAAATTTCAACATAATCATCAGAAGAGACTCATAAATTGTCACCTCTAGATTTGATATTTGTTTCTGACTAGATATTAATATATCTCTATTGCCTCCATTTGGGAGAGTAAGGTGCAAAATTTTCTTTACAAACCAACTAAATTCGACTTGTTATACTGTCCGCTAGACTTTAGAAAAAACTTTTTTCCTGTGATTGCCAATGAAATATTCACGTAACTATCTACCAGAGACCAAGGACTAGTATGTAGACAGAGACCAAGGACTAGTATTTAGACAGAGACCAAGGACAAGTATGTAGACAGAGACCAAGGACAAGTATGTAGACAGAGACCAAGGACAAGTCTGTAGAGAGAGACCAAGGACTAGTATGTAGACAGAGACCAAGGACAAGTATGTAGACAGAGACCAAGGACAAGTCTGTAGACAGAGACCAAGGACAAGTATGTAGACAGAGACCAAGGACAAGTATGTAGACAGAGACCAAGGACAAGTATGTAGACAGAGACCAAGGACAAGTATGTAAACAGAGACCAAGGACAAGTATGTAGACAGAGATCAAGGACAAGTATGTAGACAGAGACCAAGGACAGTATGTAGACAGAGACCAAGGGCAAGTATGTAGACAGAGACCAAGGGCAAGTATGTAGACCGAGACCAAGGAC